TGCAACCCAAGGGACGCTGCCGCTCTTGCGAAACCCAGAAGAGCAAAGCGGAAACGAGTGCGAGAGCGAAGGATCGAGGTCGGGCAGAATCCTTGAGGAGAGAAGAGAGTATATCTCTCCATAATTAATTTTATTATTAGAAATTAAAGCGATCGCGATTCACAACGAGTTCTGTCCCTTCCTTAAACAATAACTGTCGCAATTACTGGCTGGACTTACAATGAAACCATAAGAACTAGAGCTTGCAATTATTTAAAATTTTCAATAATTTTGAGTAATTATATTATTGATTAATTATATTATTGAGTAATTTTATTATTTCTGCAAAATGACATATTTTTTTAAAGAAAATTACAATTTATTGATATTATATATGATTTCTCTCAATTATTTTTCTCTTAATTTTCTAACATACTAATTATACATAGAAAAATTTTTTAAGCACTGGCGAATGTACTAAGTTCTGGTGACAACAGCGGTGAATACTTTAAGAGCTTTCCAGAAGCGTTCGTTACCGTTCTCGCAAACCATTCTCACTTAATCTCTTTTCTCAAGAAAATTAAGTCGAATTCAGGTGCAGCCGCTCGAATATAACTCAGTAACAATGCATCGTGGCGAGAATAGCTTAGACCTTTTCTTCTTTCATTTCTTCTTGCGCTAAAACTATTTCCAAAAGAAATCTGAATTTTACCATCTTTTTTTACGTATACTATTCATCTTACCAACAGATTTTATCGATACAAATTATATATACAGGCGAGAAAATTAAAATAATGTATTTCAAAAATAATACAGTCAATTTTTACTGAAGCTTTAATCTGTAACTTTGAAGATATAATAATTAGGAAAAGCTTAGAGAGAGAGAGAATCCGTGCAACATTTAAAAGTACTCTCTTCGTCGGATTAAATCACGCGAACGAAAACTTAGTTATATCGCAAATAATGCGTAAACTGCTATGCTACTTTGCACTGATTGAAGGGAGCCACTCGAATGTTACTCCCTCGGCTGTACAAAATTTTGCAAAGAGCGCATCCGGGGAGGGAAGCAGCCCGACGCGACGGTGAGGGGAGGGGGGTACGAGATGGGAATTTTATAACGAATAAAATTTTAAGCGCCTT